AAAATTTCGTATCATACTATTTATTCAATAATTTATATACGTAAGCTTATAGTTGAAGCATCAATAGTTGTTGGTCAAATATGAATACTAGCAGCCGGTGGCTGCTTGATATTCAAAGGTGGGGGGGCTGCTTTGAATAAATGGGTGGCTGCCTAATTTTTGTTGAATTTAGGTTTGGGTTAATTATTTTTTGTCACTAGACTTTAGAGTATTTTCAAAGATTAGTCCCTAAGTTTTAACTATAAATACCCTAGCTCATTTAGCTTCAAAATCATCCCAAAATCTTCTAGTTCTCTCTCAAGTGTGTTGTGTAAACACCTGTAAATTTTCTCTTAGTAAAAGATCTGCAGCAGCCCGGAGACGTAAGCACAATTTGGCTGAACTCCGTTATCAATTTCGGGTATTATTTTTCCGCTTTTATTTCGCATTCTTACAAATCTGGTTATAGGGAAATTACTCGTACTCGGTTTATTTCCTAACAACTGGTATCAGAGCTTTTGGTTGTGAATTTTGTCAATTTTTCTGCGAGGTTACTATTCATTACTATTCACGTGAATAGTGAATTTCGTGAATAGTGAAATTCGGTCGGCGATACGAATTTGTCGACGGAGGTGTTTTAATACACGGTGGTTCGCAAAAATTGTCAAAAACGATCCAAACGAAGCCAGATTCGAGTGGGAGCGATGGCTGCAGACGAAGGGAAGGTGAAAATTGAAAAGTTCGATGGTGCGGACTTTGGCTTTTGGAAGATGCAGATTGAAGATTTTTTGTACCAGAAAAATCTATATCAACCTCTTTCAGGAAAGCAACCAGAGGGCATGAAGAATGAAGACTGGGCTCTTCTCGACAGACAAGCCCTCGGAGTTATCCGACTGACGTTATCCCGCAATGTTGCTTTCAACATAGCAAAGGAAAAGACCACGACGGGTCTTATGGCGGCTCTCTCCAGTATGTATGAGAAGCCATCGGCCTCAAACAAAGTTTATTTGATGAGGCGATTATTCAATTTGCGGATGACGGAAGGGGCATCAGTGGCTCAACACCTGAATGAACTCAACACAATCACAACCCAGTTGAGTTCCGTGGAAATTGAATTCGATGATGAAGTTCGAGCTTTAATCTCTTATCATCTCTACCAGACAGTTGGAATGCTACTGTTACAGCAGTTAGCAGCTCGTCGGGAAATAGTAAATTGAAATTCGACGATGTTCGGGATCTGGTACTGAGCGAAGAAATTCGACGGAGAGAATCGGTGAAGCATCAACCTCCTCAGCCTTGCACACGGAGTCCAGAGGGAGAACTTCAGAAAGAAATTCAAATCGTGGCAGATCCAAATCCAGACGGGAAAAATCCAGAACGGGAAAGAAAGATTTTACCTGTTATAATTGTGGCAAGAAAGGTCACTTTAAAAGAGATTGCCGAGCACTGAAGAAAGATACCGGTGCACAGGAATCTGCCAACGTGACAGAGGAGACAGGTGATGCCATGATTCTAAGCGTCAACAGTCCGATTGAATCATGGATCTTGGATTCAGGGGCATCTTTCCACTCCACCCCATGCCAAGAAATCATGGAGAACTATATCAGTGGTGATTTTGGGAAGGTTCATCTTGCTGATGATGAAACCTTGAAGATCGTCGGAAAAGGAGATATCCGACTAAAGCTGCCAAACCAGACCACCTGGAAGCTGACAGGAGTGAGACATATTCCTGGCCTCAAAAGAAATCTGATTTCTGTTGGACAGCTTGATGGAGAAGGATATAGTACAACATTTTCAGGTTGTGAATGGAAGATTACCAAAGGAGCACTCGTCATTGCTCGTGGTAAGAAGACTGGTACTCTCTATGTAACCTCAAATTTAGAGAATATCATTGCAGTAGCAGATGCTGATGGAAAATCAAACCTATGGCACCAAAGGCTTGGCCATATGAGCGAGAAAGGAATGAAGATACTTCTGTCAAAAGGGAAGTTGCCGGATCTAAAGAATGTAGATGTCGGACTATGCGAGGATTGCATCTTTGGAAAACAAAAGAAAGTCAGTTTTGCAAAGATTGACAAGGCACCCAAGGCAGAAAGGTTAGAATTGATTCATACTGATGTATGGGGACCATCCCCAGTTCCATCTCTTGCAGGCTCACTATATTATGTCACCTTCATCGATGATTCAACAAGGAAGGTGTGGGTTTATTTTCTGAAGAAGAAATCAGAAGTCTTTGATACCTTTAGAAAATGGAAGGCCATGGTGGAAAATGAGACTGGTTTGAAAGTCAAGAGGTTGAGGTCTGACAATGGAGGAGAGTACAGAGACAGTAGATTCAGAGATTTCTGCGCAAACAATGGGATTAAGATGGAGAAAACAGTTCCCATAACACCGCAGCAGAATGGCGTAGCAGAGCGCATGAACTGAACTCTGAATGAACGTGCTAGAAGCATGAGGATACATGCCGGATTGCCCAAATTTCTATGGGCTGAAGCTATCAACACTGCAGCTTACCTGATCAACCGTGGGCCCTCTGTTCCTTTGGATGGCGGAATACCAGAGGAAGCTTGGAGCAAGAAAGAAATAAACCTTTCACACTTAAGAGTGTTTGGTTGTATTTCTTATGTACACATAGACTCTGCTGAAAGAAGTAAACTTGATGCTAAGTCCAACAAATGTGCCTTTGTTGGTTATGGCGGTGATGAGTTCGGTTTCCGGTTTTGGGACTACGAAAATCGAAAGATCATCAGAAGCAGAGACATCATTTTCAATGAAAATGTGATGTACAAAGACAGGTCAACCGCAGAATCAAGTAATACCGAGGCTGAAACAAAGGAATTTGCTGAGTTCGAGGAGATTTCTAGAAATGATGTTCAGATCAGTCCTGAAGCAGTTCAAGAGGAAGAACCAGGCACACCAGAACTGAGACGCTCCTCCAGAATTCCTAAACCAACCCAACGGTATTCACCTTCTTTACACTACTTGTTGCTGACTGACAATGGTGAACCAGAGTGTTATGATGAAGCAATGCAAGTGGAGGATTCAGTCAAGTGGGAGTCTTCCATGAAAGATGAGATGGACTCGCTTATGTCAAATCAGACGTGGGAATTAGCTGAATTACCACCAGGCAAGAGAGCGCTCCATAACAAGTGGATTTACAGGATCAAAGAAGAGCACGATGGGAGCAAACGTTACAAAGCAAGATTGGTTGTCAAAGGCTTTCAGCAAAAAGAAGGTATTGATTACAATGAAATTTTCTCTCCAGTCGTGAAACTGTCTACAATCAGACTGGTGTTGAAAATTGTAGCTGCAGAAAATTTACATCTTGAGCAGTTAGATGTAAAGACAGCTTTCCTTCATGGTGATTTGGAGGAAGAAATCTATATGAGGCAGCCAGAAAGCTTCATAGAGGCAGGCAAGAAAAACCTGGTATGCAGGTTGAAGAAGAGCTTGTATGGTTTAAAACAAGCTCCTAGACAGTGGTACAAGAAGTTCGATAGTTTCATGGGTAGTAGTGGTTTTACCAGATGCCAAGCAGATCATTGTTGTTACATCAAGAGGTTCAACAACAGCTTCATTATTTTATTATTGTACGTTGATGACATGCTCGTTGCAGGCTCAAACATGCAAGAGATTATACACTTAAAGCAAAAATTGTCGAAGCAGTTTGCTATGAAGGATCTGGGCGCTGCAAAGCAGATTCTTGGGATGAGGATCAAGAGAGACACAAAGTCGGGGACTTTGATGTTATCACAGGCTGAGTACATCAACAAAGTACTCTCTAGGTTCAACATGCAAGATGCTAAACCAGTAAATACACCTTTAGGTGTTCATTTCAGACTCTCCAAAGAACAGTCACCAAAGACGGAGGAAGAACGTGCACACATGGTGAAGGTGCCGTATGCCTCAGCAATTGGAAGTCTGATGTATGCCATGGTTTGTACCAGACCAGATATTGCTCAAGCAGTGGGAGCTGTTAGCAGGTACATGAATAATCCATGCAAAATACACTGGGAAGCAGTCAAATGGATCCTCAGATATCTGCGAGGTACCACAAACAAAGCACTTTGTTTCAAAGGTGGAGATACGATACTGACAGGCTATGTAGATGCTGACTTAGCCGGAAATGTTGACATCAGAAGAAGCACTACAGGGTATGTCTATACTCTAGGAGGAACCGCAGTGAGTTGGGTTTCTCAACTACAGAAGATAGTTGCTCTCTCCACAACCGAAGCAGAATATGTCGCTGTTACGGAAGCCAGCAAAGAGATGGTCTGGCTCCAAAGTTTCTTGAATGAGTTAGGCAAGAAACAAGAAAACAATGTCTTATATTGCGACAGTCAAAGTGCTATCCATCTAGCGAAGAATCCGTCTTTTCATTCCAGGACGAAGCACATACAATTGCGATATCATTTTATCCGGTCTCTTCTAGAAGATGGAATTTTGAAACTTGAAAAGATCAGTGGAGCTCAAAATCCAGCAGACATGTTGACAAAGACGGTGACCACGGACAAACTGAAGTTGTGTTCAACTTCAGTTGGCATGCTAGAGTAACAAGACTAGAAAAGCTGCTGCATCGATCGAGGTGTGAAGATAGATTAAAATCAGTCTTCAAGTGGGAGATTGTTGGTCAAATATGAATACTAGCAGCCGGTGGCTGCTTGATATTCAAAGGTGGGGGGGCTGCTTTGAATAAATGGGTGGCTGCCTAATTTTGTTGAATTTAGGTTTGGGTTAATTATTTTTTGTCACTAGACTTTAGAGTATTTTCAAAGATTAGTCCCTAAGTTTTAACTATAAATACCCTAGCTCATTTAGCTTCAAAATCATCCCAAAATCTTCTAGTTCTCTCTCAAGTGTGTTGTGTAAACACCTGTAAATTTTCTCTTAGTAAAAGATCTGCAGCAGCCCGGAGACGTAAGCACAATTGGCTGAACTCCGTTATCAATTTCGGGTATTATTTTTCCGCTTTTATTTCGCATTCTTACAAATCTGGTTATAGGGAAATTACTCGTACTCGGTTTATTTCCTAACAATAGTGTCGGAAACCTCTCTACAAACATTAAATGATGAAAATAAATAACATTGTTGTTTCCCACCTTGCACATTCAAGCACGTATGTTTCTCTATCCATAAATGCCAGAAGAAATAGGAGCCCTTATATTTATATATCTATCTCTAGGTATATTATAAGGTCAAAATGCAATGGTCTACTCTGCTCAGAGGATCAAATCATCACAGTAAACAAGCTTTAAAACCCCTCTCCAGTTCCTCTGCATTCAAGTTCTTCCCGATGAAAACAATCTTGTTTACTCTCGGTTCGTCCGCTCCCCATAACCGGTCTGGTGATCCTTGGAATATGTCATGAACTCCCTATTCATTTCCACATCATCAAAACAAAAACATAATTCACCATTCCCTCTTCGTTTCCATTTGCAATAGGGTGCAAAATGTAGTAGCAGATGATAAGATAAAAACAACATTTTTTCTCACCTGAAAGACGAACCTCTCATCCATGCCCTGAACAGAAAGAAGACCTTTCATCCGATAAATGTCCTCGCTACGATCCAACAACAATGTACCGAGCCAAATGTTAGCCTGCAAGATAATGGCGGAAGTACATAATACCAATGATGAAAGCTTTTTAACACTTTAACCTAAACAATAGCTACCCCTAATAATGAAACAAATTCCAAAGCACCAACGGAGACGGAGAAATCTCATTTTTAACTGAGCTGGCAAGTTCATAGGTCTATAATTTAGGATCACAATAATCTCATTTATAGTTGGAGCCTTGGAGGTATATTATGCTTTAAAACCAACCTTCTCAAGATCTAAGCTCCCTTCGCAAACTATGCTGACAGAGGAAACTCCTGGGTCGTGAGTATGATCATGATCTGCATACAAAAAAGCAAGATACTAGCTTCAGTATAAGTAGTAGAGTATAGCTTCAGACTGTTGATATGGTATCTTAAACATTAGCAAGCATGCATAAACATATCCAAATTCCCTTGCCTACGATAAACCATAAATAGAGGGCCTAAATCAGTAGCCCAAGCCTAGAAACTAATGACAAACTATGGATAGGGATGGCATTAGGGAGCTATGAGATCCCTTGCAAATGTAGTTTGGGTTGTTATATGGAATTCCAAATTATTTTTGTAGCCCAGATACCTACAATATTAGATTTTATGAGCTCTAGTTCCCACAGGATAAAGCCTGGGACTATCAGTAACCAGTAGCATGAAAGAAGGCTTCAAACTCAGAATCATTATAGAAGTGAGCAAGTGCCACGTGATGATAAGCTAATCTCATTTCTTCTTGATTCTAACTATTGCCAATTTCTTTAAAATCCAAACTTCGGATTTGGATAGACAAAAGTATCAACAATATGACATTGCTCAAGTAACAAATCCACATCAAACCAGAATTTCAGTTCAGGTGGACTGATTGGAAGAGATGAATATGCATATCCGCAATTGGATGACAATTTGGCCATCCTTTATGACCTTGTACCTACTTACGAGTGTGACAGATTCGATGGTAACAGAAGTAACAACTAGCCAGCGGATTCTTTAGAGCTGATTATGCTTTCAGCAATTTGACATGTCAGCAATAGCTCAAACTTGTTCCTGCTCCTAGCATATTCCACCAAATAAATCGATTTGGGGACAACTAGATATTTAATCATTAAGTCAATAGGCAATTCCGTGATTCACAAATTATTATGAAACATTAAGATCACACATTAGACATTATGCACAAGTCGCCATGTATTAACATGATAAAAGCACAAAGCACGGCTTCTATCTAAATGATAAAACTGAAATCAATTAACAAAGAAATGATGTAAACAACAAAGCATGCAGAAGATTATAACAAGAAAGCAACCAATACGACTATTAGAAACAAAATTAAACCAAATACCACTTTCAAGAAAAGTAAACATGTACTTTTGCTTATAAAGACAAACAAGAAAAATGAAGAAAACCTTAAAAGCATATGCAAAATGACTATTTGGTATCATAACAGGTAACTTTACCATGTTTATGGTCGTGTTCATGATGATGATGATGGTGATGATCGTGGCCATGATCATGATTGTGGTCATGATCATGATCTTTTGCACCTTCATCATTGACGGAACTCTCAATTCTGGAAATATTTAAGCACAAAAGTTAGTCAACAACCTAAATTCATGGGGTGAAAAACAGCATACAATTCTGAGGAAATGGATAGTCATCAAAAGTAAAAAGTTACACATAATGCCGGTGACATGGATGAAACTACAAATAGCCCCCTAGGAATATAAGTATGAACAATCCAATAGATCCAATAGGAAAAGAAGTATGATGGAAGTTCAAAATGGAAAAGAAGATCAGATGGAAGTTCTAAGGCCAAATCAAAGAGTCCAGGTGACATGTTTTAAGGGAGAAACAGCAGTGAATCAATACAATTAGGGCTGAACAAACAAGTAAGAGATGATGGAACTTTAGAAAACCTAGGGTTACAAAAACCTCTAGTTTTTCTCTACTAATTCAAGAAAATAATAAAAAGAATGTCGTGGCTGTAGATCTTTTACAGCTAATATATACTAGGGATGCTAATAAAGTTATAATCCTACCCCTAGATTTAAACCCTAAAGATAACTAATAATCCTAACCCTAGATTGAAACCCTAAGTATCATATAATCTTAGCCATCCATAATGCATCATAATTAACAAATATTACTGAAGTAAAAAATAATATAAAATAATTAAAGCTCCTGCATCAGAAGAAACGCTTTGCTCTCAACAAAAATAGAACATTATTATGATAAAATTGCAAAACAACAATACTTGAATTAGTTACTAGAATGATTTATTTTATTGACAATGGAGCTACTAAATAAGAGCAGGAAACAACCTCTCCAAATCAAATCCTCCTATTCCAAGCACATACTCCAAGTCAACTTTTCCAAACTCTGTCCGCTTGAGATGAGCCATGCTATTAATGTTCTGCAAGCAGGCAATGTCATCTTCACTTAGAACAATGCAAAATAAATAACACATCACATACTAAAGTTGCAATAAAATTATTTAATAGAAAAAGGAAGAAAACACACCCTTATCTGCTTAACCAAGGACGTAATTTCTGGCTCGCCAACAAGATCAGTCTATCAGAAGAACAAATAATCATATCAGCTAGCCATTAGAAAACTAAATTCAATATAACAGATGAAGTCTTTGAACACGTCCTATCAAGAGTACTATGAGCAAAATTATTTAAATGAACTGAACGTTGTCTTTCAAAATGATGTAGAAATTCATCATGGTTTAAAGGAATTAAGGTGTGGCAGGCTGCATCCAGAATATTAGGCAATGGTTTTGAGTCAAAGCTCAAGAGAATTAAATAAGTTCAATCATGTTTTGTTGTGATCTAGTTAACATGTCACCATAAGTACCTTGTTTACAATTATGCGGTCAGCATAAGCAATTTGCTCTACTGCCTCATTGACCACTCCCTTTGGTTTGACCTCGTCCAGATGAAAGGTCGCATGTTTGGCATCAACTAAAGTTACAACACCATCTAACTTGACATCATTGAAAACCTGATCCTCGGCATAAAATGTCTGAATGATTGGGGCAGGATTTGCCAATCCTGATAAGGTGAATATGGAATGTAAAATAAGCAATAATTAGTAACTTCTCATGCTCAAACTAAGGGGAAATCTCATGTATACACCAAAACAAATAGAAATAAAGAATATCTAATTCCCTTTTTATAAATTTTCACAGGTTCTTTGAAAAAAAATTCAACCTGTAGTCTCTATTACAATATGGTCAAATTTCCCTTTCTTCCTATTGACTAGCTCTGCAATCATCCTCACAAGGTCGCCCCTTACAGTACAGCAGAGACAGCCATTGTTAAGCATGACTATGTCCTCAGCCCCGGCAGATTTAGCAGCGACAAGAGAGCCATCAATATCTACTTCGCCAAACTGAAATTTTCAATTTGAAAAAGAAAAGAGTTAATAATAATAAATTACACATTTATATCTCACCCATTGTAATGATTTTCCAAAAGGCTAACTATGGTGAACCATTTATCGATATCACATCAAGCAAACAAGTTTGAAGTGGAATCAAACTCCATACCTCATTCTCTATCACTGCTATGCGCTTCCCATGATCTGCAGTCAAGATGTGATTGAGTAATGTTGTCTGTTCCACAACACATAAAAGTTAAAACAGATCAATACGGCCAACAAACTTATTAAATCAATAACTTTAAAAGAGAAAAGCTGAGTTCCTATCATCATTGCTGACTGACAATATAACAACTTTTAGTCAATAAATTGGAATGTTAAACGTAAAAAAGAAAGTGAGTCTTCATATGTAGCATCTATTGCAAGAATATTCAGAATTTCAAAATTGGGAAAAGTTAAAAAAAAAGTATTCAATGAGGCTATGAGCCACAAATGACAAACCTGACAATCATGTCATATCTATATTTTCCGCCAAGGTAACGTTTTTGCTATTACTACCAACTTAAAAGCTAAATGCAGTAAATTTGTATAAAAAAATTACTACCCAGAACATTAACAGAATCGGGGTAAACCCTGTAATCAAAATATTTTAATTTAACGACCATGTTGACCTTTGGTAAAGCAATTATTACCTTGCCAGAACCCAAAAAGCCGGTAATTATGGTGGCGGGAATACGATTATCAGGCGGAATTTTAGTGCAAACGTCGGAATCCTCGCTTTGCGGAGTAGCAGTGGCTGTGGCGGATACAGAGAACTGGCGGAAGCGGTTAGCTTTGGAGGTGCATAAAACAGAGCGAGACAAAGGCGACAGTGTTTTGGAAGAAAGGGACCGAGTATGGATGGTAGAGGGTTTGAAGAAGAGAGGGATGACCCCGGAGAGAGGTGCGGTTGGAGGGCGGCGAACACCGCCGCAACGAGTGGTGAAGTTGATGAAAGTTGTGGCTATGTCCATTGACAGCGTCGCCATTTCTGTGTTTGTTGGTTTTGGGAAGGAAATGGAAATAGCAAGAATGGAGGCTTATCTTCTGTTTTAATTTGGGGCTTTAGATATTTCCTTTTTTTAGCTTAGCCCTTTGCTCTTGTAATTTTGTGCTCAAATATTTTATACGCATAAACTTATACAAATCATCATTTTAGTTTAATATATTTTAATATCTATATTTTAATTTAAGATAAAAAGACGTTAATATTTAATAAAATTGTCACTTCGATATTTATTTTTATAGAGTATCTTAATCATTAATATTTTATTTTTTTAAAAAAACCTTATTTTAAATATTAATAATACGTTAATTAACGATTTTCATCTATATTAAAATGTTTTGTCCAAAATAAAACATTATACACAATATACTCTAAAAAAAAGAAAGGGGTCAAAATGACCATTTTAATAAATATTAGAGTTATTTTTTATATTATACCTATTATATATAGGTTTGTTTTATTAATAAGAAGTTATTATAAAATAATTATTATTTAAAAATAAACAATTTAAATAATAATGAATACATACATATAATGTGAACACAGTAGCTCATAAAGGAGAAGCTAGAAATTTCATAATACGATGTCATAATTTTAAATTATGATATCATATAAATTAATGCATAGTATTAGAATTCGATAAATTAATATAAAATATAGGTAAAGTAACATAAGACTATTACAAAAACATTAATCAAAAGAAAATGGGGTGTTCATTTTTCGGTTTTAATCTAATTTATCGACCAAATTGAATTAATTTGGTTAAAACGGCCCACCACTAAATTAGTTCAGTCGGGAAACAATTAATTTTTTCAATATTTAATGGTTAATTCGATTCGAAATTAGTTACTAACTAAATTAATCAAATTAGTCAAAAATATTAAATATTAAATATATTATATATATATTAAATACCTATTTTAAGCTCAAATCTATTAAGAATTAAGATTCAATTATTTTTAATCACACTAGATCCATTAAATTATCAAGATATAATTAAATTTTGACTCAATAGAAAAATATCAATATGGAATTTAAAATAATCTAATTAAAAATATATTAAATATTTGATTGATTTGGTCATCGATCGAATTAATCAAACTTTATTCAATTTGATTCGATTAATGGTTTAAAAATTGATTAATTCGATTAATAAAAATTTAGTTTGATCAGTGACTGAATTAAACAAATGAACACCCTTAATATATACGGTGTCAAAACCTTTTTAAAAAGATTTTTATTTTCTTAAATTTATATATATATATATATATATATATATATAAAATTAGAAAACTTTGGGGGTCAATTGACACCCTCATCAACTGCTGGCTCTGTCGGTGGCTCAAATTCAAAACTTTTATGAATTTAAAAGTTTAATGTTGAAAGTAATAAAAATAAAAAATGAAAACAAGTTTTTTTAATTATAAATTTGTTGTTATTTTATTTAAAATAAAATAAAATAAAAGATAAAATTTACACAAAAAAATATATGAATAAAGTTTTTAGTAAGTGTAATTTTTTTTATTAATAGTAAGTGTAACTTTTAAATAATAATACAGTTAAAATAAATAATATTATCTTTTGTTAAGCGATAAAGATTTAATAAATACTTTTTATTTTAAATTATCAAATATATTTAAAATATTAACTTTCAATGAGATATTTTTTTATCAAACAAACTCTTATTTATATATATATATTAATAAAGACGACAACAACAACAACAAAACCCTATTCCCATATGTAATGGGATAAGAGGGAGGTAGTGTAGTAGGTTGCCCCTAACGCCAGGTTGAGAGTAGCTTCCGTGGAAGACCTCCAGCAGTTAAGGAAATTAAAAATAAAGATAAAATACAATGCATATATAAATAAATAAATAAATACATAGTTGAACAGTCTTCATATGCAGTCTTCATATACGCGTCTGTAATGGGAAGTAATCCCTGCGTAATAATCTCTGCATATATACAAAAATGTAAGTCCCGACTAAATTTAAAAAGAGGAAACATACAGGGAAGGAATACACAGTAGTCAGCGATAGCAAGCTACTAGAAGGAATAAATTCAAATGGATTACCACCTAAACTAAGACAACACTACTCCGCTACTTTAGTTCTGGGCCTTCATAGATTCCAATGACAGAAACATATAGAAGTAGAAGTCACGGAAATTACTACAAATGCATTAAAAAGAAGACATAAATGCTACACCCCATGGTTGTGACCCACACTACTCAGCTACCCTTATTTTTTAGTTAAATTCATTCGCATCTATAACTAATCAATACAAATTTCTTGCTCATGTTGTGTTTTCTTTATAATATTGTATTTATTTAATATTTCATATGTTTTTCATCTATATGACTATATAATCAAATACATTGATACATAGATAACAAACTATGAAACTATTGGCCCTCGATTCATCATAATCCTTTAAGATTAGTTTTTTTTGGCACAATATAAAATAATGATGTTAAATTGAATAGTTATATTAGTCCTCATTCTTTTTTAGAGTATTTTAAATCTATTATTTTATTTTGAGATAAATGACTCGTGAATCATAATTGGATGAAAATCGTTAATTGACTAATGATTAACTTTTGCCACTAACATGAGACTATCACATCATCACTTTTAACACGTAGCATGTATCACACTGACATGTATACCAACATCACTTTTGGCACATAGCATATACCACATCATCATTTTGACACATGATATGTGTCAAGTCATTACTTTCGACATATGATAGTCAACCGTCAGTGACGTGTTTATTATTGGTTAATTTACAGTTTCCATCCAATCAGGGAACACCTCAAAATAAAATGTTAGATTACCAAAATACTTAAAAATATGTATCAAAATAACTATTTTATCAAACATTAGAAGTGAACCTTGACATTATGTTTTTTCTTACTCTTAAGGTTTGAGGTGGGGTATACCAATTTTTTAAGCATAATGCAACAAAATAAATAGGGATCAAAATAAATATTTTGTAAAACATTAGAAGTGAATCTTGGCATTATGTTTTTTCTTACTCTTAAGGTTTGAGGTGGGATATACCGATTTTTTAGGCATAATGCAACTAAAATACCCCTAACGTTTGACAACAATGTCAATTTTCCTCCTATTCTCTTTTTTTTTTGGGATCATTTTATCCCTAACGTTTCATCTTGGGTAAAACAATATCATCGTTAGATGAAAACCGTTAGTCAACTGACGGTCAACGCCTGAAGCTGACTAAGTAAGAACATGTGAAGGAAAATGCTCAATGTCCAGGTCATAGTAGATGATAACGTTGCACTGTCACATAAATTTTTTAAGAAAAAATAAAAATATTATTATTAATATTTATATTAAATTATTTATAACCACTCGAAAAGTGACACGTATCACTCTCCGATTGATATTGATTTAAAGGAAAAATTAAAATGTCTTTTGCGTGGAAGAGGAATCAAACTTGAGTAAACGGTGTGAAATGACATAGCTCATATCACAAGACCAAGATGTTTACTTTTTTATATAATGAAACAAATTTTATTTAATAAATAATCATATTTGAATTTAATAAAAAAATTAATCATGTGTTTCAAACCATAATATATCTTGTCATTGTCCCTTATACCAAATTATTCCTAAAATTTTATTTATTTCAAACCAACATGTTGCATACAAGGAAAGAACATGAGTTGGAGAGGGAAAAGCATAAAATTCCGTTGGACCATGAAACCGGATTGAACCCAAAAGGGAACAAATAGTCGAGAACTACCAATTTATGTCATGACCCTATGGTGATATCATACAAGGGAAAATGACTGTAAAATTGTGGATGAGAAAGCAACAGAAACGAAGACAAATGAGAAGCAGAAGAGTGCCTGGAAACGAAAGGAAGAGTGATACAAGTGAGTTGAAGTTCTTATAAGTTGACCTCAAATTCAACAAGGTTTTAAGAGGCACAAAATAGAGTATGTTCTCCAAGAGTTCTTGTGGCAGCTTACTCCAGATCTGTCGACCTTGTTCAAAATTTCCGTTCGATTCGAATTTTACGGAGATGGAATTGAGATAGAAAAGATTTGAGTTATTAGAGTTTAGAACAAATAAAATTTTGGGAATAATCGGTTATAAGAGAAAATGACAAACTATATTAGGGTTTGAAACTGTTAAGAGAGTCTACAACCAAAACTTAATGCTCGAGGTTAACCGAAAGTTGTTGCTCCAAAATCTCCTGATTATAAGCAATTACTGTAATTCTCTAATTCTACTTGATTACTATTAATTCTAATTGTAATTGATTTTAATTTGATTACCATCTTACATATAAGGTGTATATAAACCTATCATTGTGAATAATAAAGATACAATCAACTTTTACATGGTATCAGTAAGCCATTAAGCACCACTACAAACTCGATCCTAGCTATATCCATGGCTACATTCATCCAAATCACCCAAACTCTGAACTCACATATGAATTTCCCTTCCTGGTTTTACTAAATTGAAGCACTTATCATTGGTTTGGAAATAATCGGCTATATCGCTGGTGATACGCCCTGTCCACCAAAAACATAGTCTCGACAGAAAAGAATGATGCTCATGAATCTAAAGAAGTTATGAATCCTGAGTACCATCTTTGGGTACGATAGGGCAAACTGATTGTCCACGCGATAGGCTCATCTCTTTCAGAAACTGTTGTACCAGTGATAGCTAGATGTGCCACTTCCATGGAAGTGATGAGCAAGTTGATTGTCGTCTTTTCTAGCAAAACAAAATCGAGAGTGATAGCGCTCAAAAGATCCTTGACAATGTTGACACAATAAAACAAACCCGCCCTTAAATTTCTTCAAAGCGTCAGACCTTGGCCGATGAACTTGCCCTAGTCCAAGCCCCGATCCCTGATGATGAATTGGTGATTCATATCTTCAACAGAAATAATCCCAAATTGAAAGGTGTTTCACTGCGTCGAAAGAAAGGGAAACAAAACTCACCTATGAAGAAGTTTTAAATAAATTAATTGATCATGAGAAAGATTTGAAACGACAAGAAG